CAGCGGTGGGTCCTGAATCGCGGGAAGCAGATGGCTGCCCCTCTTTCCTCGAAAAAAGTCCTCTAAACGCTTTGCTAGTGCTCGCCATAATGATATGAATAGAGATCGCTCTTACCACAGAAATGCACACTTCAAACAAAACAGTCAATGAAGACGAAGAAGAGGATGATGTGTTCTCCCGGGGCCTATTTATACTATAGTCACACCGGTAGTGACGTCATGGCTGTCGCCGGCCAACGTGTTGTTGGTGTTTTTTCAATGTATGCTTCAGACACGGGTCACGATGAGGCGTCCCCATAGCGACCCCTAGAGGACGCAGTTCGAAGTTCCCATGAAAGTGAACTCTGAGTATCTTAACCCTGAAATGAGGGAAAATGGAAAATGGTTTTCCATTTCAGAATGGGAGGTATGTCAAACTTGAGAAAGCAGGGTGAGCCAACTCGTTTCTGAAAGAGAGGTAACTTATACTGTGAACTTACTCTGTTTACCTAACCTGGTTGGGAGCAGGTTTTCTTTGGTAAACCCAGAGTTTTTAGCTGCTCTAAGACCGAAAATTAAGAACCAGCTAAAACCAGCCTAAGCTGGTTGGCTGGTCTTAGCTGGTTTAAGCTGGAAGTTTTAGCTGGTCTCCCAGCCTGGCTAAACTGGCCAAGCTGGTCTCCCAACTTCTCCAGCTAAGACCACCTAAAGAAGTGGTCAAAGCCCCTCTAAAACCAGCATGCTGACCAGCTATGAGCAGGCTGAATGACCAGCTTAAACCAGTCTGGTTAGCTTAGGCTGTTTTTTCAGCATTGAGGGTAAGTCAACACAGAGTTCAAGTTTTAACTTGGTTGAAGCTCATAATTGAAACGGACCCCAGGTCTTAAAATAAAATTGGGGAATTTATAATATTTTCAGCTGCATGAACATCAACATTATTTGAATTGCCCTGTTTATATATATATATATATATGCAGCAACTGACACTTTTATGTAGAATGGGTTTACTTTTATTAAAACTAACTTTTTAATTTTAACTTTAATTTTAACTTTTCTTTTTGTTAAGATCATATTAAAAACTTGGATTTTTTTTTTTACTTGCCTTCATCATTTATTTCTCCTATACTCATCAAATGCTTTACATGTGTAGATTTTATTATTTGATCTTGTTCAGATTTTCAATCTTAAAATATGGAAATCCAATATAAAATGGTAATTATTACATATAATGATAATCATGTTGATATAAATAAACTTTTCAAGAAGTGACATGAATAAACAAAAACATAAACCAAATTACTCAAATTACAACTGTCCCAAAGTTGTGCTCTCATTTCAGTTAATCCACGTTTACTGAGGAGAAGAGTGTGTCAGAGCTTAAAGGGGTCATAGGATGCCCATTTTATCGGGGGCGCATTCCCTTCAAAAACAAACATAATCCACTGCGTCTTCAGCGGCTCAGACGTCGGGAGTAAACAACGACTGCTATGTTCATTATTTTAACAAAAAACCACTGGGTGGATTTTTATCATTTTAGGGTGGTTGTGTACACACACTGCCAACACACATTTCAGTTCAACCAACTTGTAAAAGTGCAAGTAGCATTATATGACCCCTTTAAGATAAATGAGACACGTGACCTGTGAAGAAAATAAAGAAAAATCTCAGTGAAGGTGAAGTAAACAAATAAGTCTTATCCTCCATTAAATGACTGGAGTATTTTATAGAGAAGCCACAAAAATGTTATGTAAATAAATTGTATAGAGAGCTTGTATCAGGATATATTTTTAATTGATGCAAAATATTTGAAATCAACTAATTTAAATTGGAATTCACAAAAAGGCTTATTGTTTTAAAAGGCAATACAAATATGACATACTGTATAATACAAATGACAGTTGATTAGAATGCAAATATCAGTCCCACTAATATGTTTATTGTTGATCTAATTAATCTAAATTCATTAAAGGAGTTCAGAACCACTGAAATATAAAAAAAATAGTGTTTCAAATTCTTGTTTTCTGTAAACTGTAACATTAGACACACAGTTCAGGTGTTTTGAATTATGTTCTGATATTAAAAAGTATCCTTTAAAACTGAAAGTAAAAACTTGTGGTAGCTGTGATTCTGATTCTGATGCCAAACATGCCATAATTCTAAAACATTCCATATGAGGAGTGTCATAGGAAACTGAAACTCAAAGACATATTGTTCTACGAATAACAAAAGTCTGACGAACAGAAAAAAGTGTACGAACAGGTTTAGTCAACACACTAGTCTCTTCAACTAGCAACCACATACCTGTCTACAGGTAAATAAATATTAGATCTTTATTCATATATTTATTTTTTTGTGTGAATTCTATGATATATATATATATATATACACAGTGTTGGGGAAAGTTACTTTTAAAAGTAATGCATTACAATATTGCGTTACTCCCTAAAAAAGTAACTAATTACGTTACTTAGTTACTTTTTATGGAAAGTAATGCGTTATATTACTTTTGCGTTACTTTCGCGTTACTTTTTAAATATAAGCAGGACTTGATTGTTTTTAATATAAGAAGTTCTATTTAGAGCAAATGTAAATGCCCTTTCACACCAAAAAGTGTAATGAATAAACCCCAGGCTGAAGCAAAAGTAAATTCACATCTGTACAGTAGAACGCAGAAGAAACACTCTTCAGCAATAAAAAAACAAAGCACAATTGTATATGGTGGTGGAGTGGGGTATGAGTGGTTATGAACGAATGAATGAAACGCATTTGTCCGTGTTTCACTCCATATCGAATCACGCTCGCGGAAAGCGCTTGAGAAACAGTGTTTCCTCTTCAAGAACTCGAGCTGCATCGGAGGACGCTTCGGGAACGCCCTTCAGCGTGACCGGCTCTGAACCTCGTGTGTAATCAGACCAATAGATTATGGAAAGCCAAATGGTTCAGAATTCGCACGCTTTTCACCGCCATATCAATATTAAAACGCCGTTTTCATAACGCCGCCAGGCGTTAAATAAGCGCCGTTAGGCGATAAGTTAACGCCAGACGCCACCACGCGTTAAAATAACGCCACACGCCGACCGACGTTATGTTAACGCCTCACACCACTTAAGATGCAGATTTATTTGCTCATCTACATGGACACGCCTCTCATGACTACGAGGAATCTACGGCAAGTCGGAGCATCCAGTTTGCATTAGAGAGTGAAGATGGCAAGGACAGAGTTTGTTTTGCAGTGTAAACACACTGTAAACGACTGCACTCGCCTTTTACTGTCTGATAATCCCGGGCCTGATGTCTTTCAGTCATCAATAAACAGGTAAAGATTGTGTCTATGTTCTCCAAAAGTATTTAGTTAGAGTTTTAACAGCCAAGTTTTGATAGACACGATTAGCTTTAACGTATAAGGGCTGTCGATTTAACTTGCTAATTTTAATGGGAAAATAATGGCAAAAAAATATCACAATTAACTAACTTATTTGCCCCAGAACTATGTAAGTCATCTTATTACATTTCATGCAATTATATGGTGGCAAGCATGATGCATGGTTACAATAAAGCCCTTACGATTCTAGATTGGGGAAAACATGCCCCTGAATGAGCTTTTGTCTCATATAGTTATCATACGAGTCACGAATGAGTGCAAATTTGAAAATGATTTTATTCAACAATTCAATAAATAAGAAATTAATATTGTAGTTTAGACATGACATTGTGTTTTTGCTCAATTTTCCAACGAAAATGTTACATATTAACCCAGAACTATGAGTCTCTTAACAACACACAGCAGGGTTTCATTTCAAAATGAATCCACGTTTTGAGCGAATGAATCACTTGAATCAATTATTCAGTGGTCCTTTCTTCATTACTGAATAAATCAGCCGGTTGAACGAATGGACTCAATGATTTTTAAACATTTACTGGCACCTACTGGCAGTTTTTTTGATGCATTTGTGAGTATCATTTCAGTTTATATTTAAAATATTTTGGGGATAGTTTCACAAAAATTTAAATTCTGTTTATTTACATTTACCTACCCCAATGTTGTTTCAAACCTAAATGTCTTTATTTCTTTTGAGAAACATAAGAAGATATTTTAAAGAATGCTGGTGACCAAACTGTTTTAGTCTGTAAATATATGTAAATACTGATTCAGATGTAGCTTAAAAAAATAAAAAGTATTGTCAGTGTAGCCTAAAAGTTTGTGTAATAAATTGTAAATTAAATATTTCTTTCTAAAGCAGCATTTTGTTTGCTTTTTCTCATTCTTTGCTTTTCTCATTTAACACAGTTATGTGACTTTAAAATATCTTTTGACGGTACTTTTTCTTCCTTTTTAAAAAACATAACATGATATACTATTTAAAACAAAACAAAAAAGTATGCTCTAATTTTTATTATTATTATTTTATTTACTTTTTTAAAAACTTTTACTTTTTAGACTTCAAACCATGCTGAGGAGCCTGGAATGGGCAAAGGGGAGGCTTCTACATACTCAGGCAGCAGATGAGATAATCCATGAAGTGACAGATTTTATTCAGGAGATTCAAACTTCTGAACCGAGAGCACAGGAAGGTAAATGCCATCAAACTATCTTAATTACGCACAGTAAACTCCAATTAGATTGTCTGACACCTACAGTATTTTCTTTTGAATAATTTTGCTAAGCATAACATTTCACACTGACATACAAACTATTGGAAAAATTAAGAAGTCTGCTTGTTTCCCAAGTGTTTATAAAAGCAGTATATTATAATTTTTCTACAGACAGCACTGGATATCGACCTCCACTGATTCGTAGTGGATCCAGAGGCGCACCGTCTTATGTCATTACTCATGATCAACTGTCATTTCTGTTGTCTTGCGGCTTCACTGTAACACAGATTGCACATATTCTACACACCTCCATATCTACAGTCAAGCGACGTTTAAGGTAAGTTATATAATATAATAAATATATCCATTGACTGCACACATGATAACCCTGTTCACAGGTGTATTTGTCATGGAAAACTAATAGAATGATGGTAACATTTTATTTTATTGTATCCCAGTTACATATGTTACATGTAGTTACACATAATTACATGAAACTGACCATAAACCAAACCCTAATCCTAACCATAACCCTATTGTAAGTGCATATAGTTAATTATTATTATTCAGTACTTAAATGTATAATTACACTGTAACAAGGACACATTAAAATAAA